TAGAGTTTGTGCATGTTGAGGAGGAATTGGGATGCGAGGAGTTCAAGTGACAATGTTCAGCATTATGCCAACAAATTAGAAGATTCAAGGCACCTGCTAATGCACCTCCAGGGATGCAAAGTACATGTGCTCCCTGATGTGCAAGCATGATTTAGGATCAAGATGTCTGGCACTGCAGGTGGGGCAGGACATGCAGGCATATAGCAGGAGTCAGGCCTCATATCCATTTTTCCCTGACAAATTCCTCATTCCTTCATCTGGCACACACATGCCCTATCATTATCTACATCATTATTTCACTATTTGGTCACAGTTGCTGGCAGTTTGTCATGTGCCTTACCTCTACAGGTATTTAGCAGTCAACATTGTATTGTTGTAGAACCAAAAAATCTGATAATATAAACAAGGCAGCTGGTAATGATGTGGCTTCTGCTGAACACTCAGAAAAAATTTCAAAGGAGTGTAGGTAATGTAGTCAGTCAGAAAAAAAAAACTGAGGTAGAAATTAGAATTAAAAACCCAAGGTTGGAACAGCTCTGTGTTGCAGTGGGATAACCAAAGGCCTACAGTGCTGACATCCCATATGGGCTCCAGTTCAAGCCTTAGCTGCTCGTCTTAATATCCAGTTCCCTGTGAGGTACCTGGGAAATCAGTAGAAGATGGACCAAGCCTCTGGACCCCTAAACTCACCTCTTAGACCTAGAAGAGGCTCATGGCCCCAGCCTGATCAATTGTGATAATCTGGGGAGTGAACCAGCAGATGGAGGATCTGTTTCTCCTTCTCTCTCTTTCAAATTACCAAATCTTAAAAACAATAAGTTGCAAGAGTTAAAAAAAATGATGCTGAATTCATATGGAAACACAAAGACCCCACATAGCTAAAGCAACTGTATACAAAAACAACAACAACAAAAAAAACAACAAGCCATTAGGCATCACAAAAAATTTGAACACAGACCTACCATATGACCCAGGCCTCCCACTCCTGGAATTACAAATTGGGAAATGAAATTAGCACATAAGAGTATCTCTACCCCCCATGTTTAGTGCAGCTCTTTCACACTAGCTAAGACATGGAACCAACCTAAAAGCCCATCAACCGAAGACTGGATAAAGAAATTATGGGGTATGTCCCACTATGGAATTTCTACAGCAGTAAAAAAAAATGAAATCCCTGAACTGCGATAACTAATAGAGCACCTAATAGGAGGTCTGTAGAAGTGAAATTGACACTTTGAGAAGCAATGAGAACAGCCTTTATCTTGACTATGAAGGAACTTTTTTCATTCTATTTGTGAACTCTTTACTTAACAGAGCTAATCATATGTGTATAAAATCAATTAAAAATAGAACTCGGCCAGCGCCATGGCTCAATAGGCTAATCCTCTGCCTGCAGCGCCAGCACACCAGGTTCTTGTCCCAGTTGGGGTTCTGGATTCTGTCTCGGTTTCTCCTTTTCCAGTCTAGCTCTCTGCTGTGGCCTGGGAGTGCAGTGGAGGATGGCCCAAGTGCTTGGGCCCTGCACCCCCATGGGAGACCAGGAGAAGCACCTGGCTCCTGGCTTTGGATCAGCACGGTGTGCTGGCCTGCAGTGGCTATGGGGGGGTGAAACAATGGAAAAAAGGAAGACCTTTCTCTCTGCCTCTCTCTCTCTCACTGTCCATTTTGCCTGTCCAAAAACAAAAAAAATAGAACTCAGCTAAAAAAATAAGAGTGGGAATAAGGGAGGAGGAATTTATAACTGTAAAGCTGTATAGTTTTGCATATATTCCTATGGACTTTTTGCTAACAGTACAGTTTATAAACTTGCATTGGACCCCCAATATGGGGTCCAACATGGGAAACCGTCCCACACAGCAAACTCATAGAATGATAATCACTTCAAATAACACTCTTGACCTCAGAATCAGCCCTTCAGTCATTCTGGTCTGGCTGAAATGCCCATGAGAGTATTTCAGACATGGAACACTATCACATCATGGCCAAAATGTCCTATATGAAGGATATCTGTGGGTGAAATCCCTGTGGAAAGAAGTCACCAAAGAAGGATGTACTTTTCTCTGAAGCAAGAACTTCCGCTTTGTGTGTGGCCTTTTTCTAAATACTGATGGTGTTTGAGGGTTCAAAGGCTTCCATAGCCCAGGCAGTTTATGTCCAAGAGCCCCAGGCAATGTTAATTGTTAAATTAACAACAGGAATCACTGTGCACTAACTTCCTATGCAGAACTTCTATCCTCAATGAGTTGTATTATGAGAGTTAAACTTGTTCTCAATTTTGTGTGTGTGCAAGTTGTTGAAATCTTTACTTAGAGTTGCGTCTTCTGTTCATTAAGTAATTGAAAATGAATCTTGGAAAATGGGACTGTGCATGGGAGACAGCGGATGAGGAGGGACTGGAGTATGGGTGCAAGAGTGTTGTACTTAACAAATGCATGAAGTTTGTTATAGTTGAATGAAAGGTTCTTTGGGGGGAAAGCAGGATGGGTTTATAGTGCATTGGGTAACTGGAATACATATGCTTTATTCTAAGAAATATGAATCCAGAACATCATAATTAAGGCTCAGGTTCTTGATGGGAGTGTGTGTGATGAGCCTGGAGCCATGTAAAATAATTCTAGCTGAAAACCCTGTATGCTGTATGGAAGGTCTGGGTTTTGGACAGTGTGTGACTGCAATACACATGCTGCTAGGCAGTTTTCTATTCCTAGAGCTCACTGGCTAGCTGCCCTATATCATCAGATAGTAAAATGAAATAAACAGAAGTCAGAACATTGGTAAATGACTCCAAACAGGCATAACCACAATAGAGAGGCAAGAGAGCTGCAGAACAAACAAGGACAAAAATAAAAGAACTATGGCCAGCACTGTGGAACAACAGGTTAAGCTGCTGTGAGCAATGCTGACATTTTATATTTAAGTGTTAGCTGGGAGTCCTGGCTACTTTGTTCTGTCACTACATTGCTAATACTCCTATGGAGTTAGTACTTAATGATCCATATGTTTGGGGCCCTACCACCCATGTGGGAGGCTAAAATAGAATTTAGGCCTCCTGGCTTTGGTCTCACCTAGACATGGCTGTTTCAGCCATCTGTGGTAGTGAAGTAGTGAATATAAGAACTCTGTGTACATGTTTTGCTCTGTCATTGTCTTTTAATGGAAAAAAAAATTAAACATTGGCCCAGAAACAATCCCAGGAAGATAGTTTGGACATTTGGCCACCAAAGCAATACTTATGAATCCTCTTCAATCTATAAATAGATTGGTAATATGGACAAATGAGACAGTCTACACACAAATCTGGGATTCACATGACTGAAAAAGCCACAAGACAAATCCTACCTAGGACAAAAAAACAACAACATCCAACTCTAATAGTACAGCATTATGGCTGGCATGTGAGGTAACACAACTGTGGTCACATTACTGATCTGTACTAGAATAAATGGAGGAAGACTCATGTGCAGGCAGTGAAAGAGTTGTACCAAATACTTTGCAAATGTTAGGATTGTATTTCAAACTGAGTAGTATAGAATGAGTATTTACTTACAAAAAATTACATGTGGATATCGTCCCCTACTCATAATAAGTGCAGGCAAAACAGCAGATTATTTGGCACAGAGACTAATGTAGATTTCAAAGACTGCATAGCCAGCCTCTGCAGTACAGTGTTACACCCTCATGTGAATTCCCTAATACCTGCAGAGATGTGATGTTAAACAGGTATTTTTCCACCTTCATTACTGTTTTGCAGAATATATTGAGTAATTTGGCTAGCACTTATTTTATGTACTAATAATTTTGTGGATAATTTTGCTGATGCTTGTTGAAATCTGCCTCAGAGTAAAAGCTTTGTCCACTTCCACTGCCTTTGTAGAGTTCTTCCTCTAAGATCCCTGATAGTGAGATCTGGCTTATGGTAGAAAGTTTTCCTATATTCACATGCTTTCTCACCTGTGAGTTCTTTGATGTGTGCCTAACACTGACTTCTGGCATCAGGAATTTACATAATCACTTCATTAAAAGGTATTTTTTTTCCTTTTTGTGAGTTCTGCCTTCTGTTGAGATGTATCTTCTGGCAAAAAGTCTTTTTCTTATCCATAGCATTGACAAGTTATCTCTTACATGTGAGTTCTTTGATGCCTTCTGAAGTTTGAATTCTGAGAAAATGTTTTTCCACATTCATCACATTGATAAGGTTTCTCCCCTGTGTGAACTCTCTGATGTGTAATGAGTGTGAGTTATTACAAAAGACTTTTCCACATGTATTGCATTCATAAATTTTCTCTGATCTATGCATTCTCTGATGGGTAAAGAGTTTGTGATTTCCAACAAACGGGTTTTCCACACATTTTGCATTTATAAATCTTCTCCGTCTTATGTAGAGTGAGTTGTGACTTCTGGAAAAAGGATTTTCCACAGGTACTACATTCATAAGTTTTCTTCCTTTTTGTGGATCATCTGGTGTGCAATGAGTTGTGATTTTTGGCAAAGGCTTTTCCACATGTATTACATTCAAAAGGTTTATCCACTGTGTGAATTTTCTCTGATGTGTAGTAAGGTTTGACTTCCAGCGAAAGGTTTTTTCACACATTTCACATCCATAAGGTTTCTCATTTATGTGAATCTCTGATGTGAAGTTAGATTTGACTTTGGATAAAGGCTTTTCCACCTTTATTACATTCATAAGGTTTCTGCCCTATGTGAATTCTCTGATGTACAGTGAGATTTGACTTCCAGAAAAAGGCTTTTCTGCATATATCACATTTGTAAGATTTCTCCTTTGTGTGAATTCTTTGATGTGAAATAAGGATTGTTTTCCAATGAAAGCCTTTTCCGCATGTATTACATTGATAAGGTTTCTCCCCTGTGTGAAATCTCTGATGTAGAATGAGTTGCGACTTCCAATAAAATGCTTTGCCACATGTTTTACATGTCAAAGATTTGTATCTTGTGTGAGTCATGTGATTTGTAGTATCTGACCTCGGGTAAATGGTTTTCCCCACATTCATTGCACCCAGAGGGCCTTTCCCCTTTCTGAGTTCTATGATGGATAGAAAGGCAGGATTTACAATTGAAAGATTTTCCACAGGGGTTACAAGAATAGGTTTTTCTTCCTGTATGTGTTCTTTGACTTGTGATAAAATCTGATTTGTAAATGAGAGTTTCCTCATACTCAAAAGATTCATAAAGTTTCTTTCCTGTGTGTGTTTGTTGAGGTTTACTGAGGTAGGACTTTTTCTGGAAAGTTCTTTACATGTTCAGTTGTCTTTCCTACAATGCCAACTGACTTATTACAGGTGTCTCCCATATGATCCCTTTCATTTGTAAAGAACACCCTTTTCCTGTTGAACCCTTTGCCTTTTACACTGTGTTCAAACACCTGCTGAAAAGGCTGAATCTTGTGAGGCTGCCTGATGGGCTCCCAACGTTCACTTGAGTTGCCAGGTACATTAGTGCCATCAGATTTCTCTGCAGCTCGCATCTCATCAGGCCTCCTAGGGAGAAGCAAATTGTGAAATAAATTATATGTCTCAGCTTTCAGTAAAAATATGGCCTGAGCTTAAATTAAGTGTTGCTTTTTTTTTTTTAACAGGCAGAGTGGACAGTTAGAGAGAGAGAGACAGAGAGATCTTCCTTTGCCATCGGTTCACCCTCCAATGGCCGCCACGGCTGGTGTGCCATGCTGATCTGAAGGCAGGAGCCAGGTGCTTCTCCTGGTCTCCCATGGGGTGCAGGGCCCAAGCACTTGGGCCATCCTCCACTGCATTCCCTGGCCATAGCAGAGCTGGCCTGGAAGAGGGGCAACTGGGACAGAATCTGGTGCCCTGACTGGGACTAGAACCTGGTGTGCCAGTGCTGCTAGGCGGAGGATTAGCCTGTTGAGCCGCGCACCAGCTAAGTGTTGCTTTTTAATTTAACTCTCTTGTGTGTTAAGTTGTTGTTTGTGATTACAACTTGCCTCAAATTTATTTGTTGACTTTTCCAGTTGGTTCCCAATAGGTCATCCCTTCTGTGGGCTGAAATGAGAAAAAAAAATACTATATCCATGAACCATATCTAAATGTTACTTGTAGAATGTTCAAGTAAAAGCAATGCAATTTCTTAGTGGAATAGCATTTGAATAGGTCAGTAAAAGGTATTCAGTGTTGCCCTATATATCTTTTTCTTCATAATACACTAAGGTAATAAAACAAAGGAAGCTTTCCCAAATTCATACATTTAACTATGTTAAATGTTTTAAGTGGAGAGAGGGGGCAAGTGATGTCAGGCAGTGGGTCAAACCATTTCTGAGGATACATGCATCCCACATTAGTACCAGATGAGTCCTGGCTACTGTGCTTCCAATACAGATTCCTGCTAATGTGTCCTGGCAGGCAACCAATGATGATTCTAAGTGTGTTGGAGCCTGCCACATACTTAAAAGACCCAAACAGATTTACTGGCTTTTGGTTTCAGGTTGGCCTCATTCTTACTGTAGCAGGCATTTGGGCAATGAACATGTAGATGGAGGACTTTTCTCTCATTCTCTATTTCTCTGTTACTTTCATTCTGCCTTGCAAGGAGAACCTAATAAACATTTTCATAACTAAGTAAATATTTATAAAAGTTGAGAAACACTTAGTAAAAATACTTACCAACTATCTTATTTGAGTAATAAGCTGCAAACTTCCAGCAACCATCATCATTTCTTATAAAAGTGAGGTTTCTTGCTTCCTTAATCATTCAGCTTTGAAGATGGGAAAACTTCATTGGATCACTTACTTATAGGTACCAGAAGAGGACATGTGTGTATCCCCTAGGCAGGACCATAACTTAGAAACGGCATCCATTTTTTGGTTGCTGCATGTTCAGTTTTTCCAGGGGAATGGCTATAGAGATCTGTGGGGTTTCTTAAGCAAAAACACCTCCTTTAAATGTTTTCAAGATTTGTTTATTTTAGAGGCTGGTGCTGTAGTGCAGTGGGTTAAAGCCTTGCCCTGTGGCACCAGCATCCCATATGGGTGCCAAGTCTCAGCTGCTCCACTTCAGATTCAGCTACCTGCTAATGTGCCTGAGAAAGCAGCAGAGGATGGCCCAAGTCACTTGGTCCCTGTACCTGCATAGGAGACTCAGAAGAAACTCTGGACTCTTGGCTTCATATTGATTCAGCTGCACGCATTTCAGTCAGTTAGGAGTGAACTGGCAGATGAAAGACCTCTCTCTCTCTGTCTCTACCTCTCTCTCTCTCTTTCAAATAAATAAAAAAACTTTTAAAAAAGATTTATTTTTTTTAAAGACAGAGTTACAAAGAGAGATGGAGAGAGTATTCTTCCACTTATTCACTCCCCAAATGGCTGCAATGGTCAGGGCTGTACCAGGGTAAAGACAGGAGCACAGAACTCCAAATGAGTCTCCCAGATATGTGCAAAGAAACATCTGCTGCTTTCCCAGGCACAGTAGCAGGGAGCTGCATCACAAGTGGGGCAGCCAGGACTCAAGTTGGTGCCCATATGAAATGCTGTCATTACAGGAAGTGGTTCAACATACTGTCACAATCTCAGCCCTTCCCAAATCTTTTATATGCACATTATGATGACAGGTTTCCACAGATTCCTAAGAAAACCTAGTATCTTCAGATTCTCAGTACCACAGAAGGCCCATAAATGTCCCATACATCATTTTTTGTATGCTTTCCAATCAATTTAAGGAAATATGTTCTTCCATTAGGATTATGTTCACCTTCTTTGAGAAGTACTTCAACCTCATTATGAAACCAGCATACTTGGTATTCTTTGAGTTCTTGGTATACACTCTTGCTCTAAAATTTGAAGTTATGGCTTTTAATGCTTGTGCTAGATGCTCAAAATTATCCCATTTTTACAGAAAACTGACTCTCTTATGCATTTCTAAACTTTTATATTATAATTATATTATAAAAGGAGCAGGAAAAGTATTATAGCATGTTAACCTGCTTGCTGCAACACTGGAATCCCATTTTCTTCATGATTTATTTATTTGAACTACAGGGATAGGGACAGACAAACAAAGCCCATTCACTCATTCACTTTTCAATTGCTTGCAATGGCCATTTATTTTGTTACTCATTTATTTGAGAATCAGAGACAGAAAAAAGGGAGAGAGGGGATGCCACTATGGCATAGCGAGTAAAGCCACTGCCTGCAGTGTTGGCATCCCATGTGGGTACCAGTTCAAGTCCCAGCTGCTCCACTTCTGACTGGGAAAGCAGTAGAAGATGTACAGTAGAAGTACTTGGGCCCTGCACCCATGTGGGAGTCCCAGAGGAATCTACTGGCTCCTGGCTTCAGATTGGCGGCAGATGCAGCCAACTGGGGAATGAACCAGCACTTGGAAGACCTCTCTCTCTCTGCCTTTCCTTCTTTCTCCATGTAACTGACTTTCAAATCAATAAATCTTAAAAAAAAAGACAGAAAAAGGGAGAGGAAAGAGACAATGAGAAAGCTCACATTCACTAATTCAGTACTCAAATTTGTGCAACAGTAAGGCCTGTGCCTGGTCAAAACCATGAGTGGGAACTAAATTTCTGCAACTCATAAGAAATCAGTTCCTCTGTGCGATCCAATTTTATAAGCATTGATAGAATAAATACATGAATAGGACAGTGCCATGGCTCATTTGGCTAATCCTCTGCCTGTGGCACTGGCACCCCAGGTTCTAGTCCTGCCTGGGGTGCCAGATTCTGTCCTGGTTGCTCCTCTTCCAGTCCAGCTCTCTGCTGTGGCCCAGGAAGGCAGTGGAGGATGGCCCAGGTGCTTGGGCCCTGCACCCACATCGGAGACCGGGAGGAAGCACCTGGCTCCTGGCTTCAGATTAGTGCAGCACACCAGCCACAGCACACTGGCTGGAGCAGCCATTTGGGGAGTTAAACAATGGAAGGAAGACCTTTATCTCTGTTCCCCTCTCTAACTCTGCCTGTCAAAAAAAAAAAAAAAAGAATAAACATCTGAAGAAAAACAGGATGTGACAGTAGGAAGAAGGACAAGTTTGAATACAGGGGATGTATTTAACCTAAAAATTAGTCTCATTACAGGCAGAAATTGATTGCAATGGAGCTAGCACTATGGCACAGTAAGCTAAAATTCTGCCTGCAGCATCGACAACCCATATGGGTACTAGTTCATGTTCCAGGTGCTCCTCTTCAAATCAGCTCTCTGCTAATGGCCTGGGAAAGTGGTGGAAGACGGCCCAAGTGCTCTCCATCTTGGAGACCCAGAGGAAATTTCTGGCTCCTGGTTTCATATCAGCTCAGCTCTGGCCATTGCAGCCATCTGAGGAGTGAACCAGTGAATGGAAGACCTTTCTATCTCTCCCTCTGTCTGTCTGTAACTCTACCTCTCAAATAAATAAATAAATAAAATTTTAAAAATAAATTGATTGCATTGTTGGTAGTTCTGACAAAATATTCACCCAGAGCAAAACAACAAGCAGATGATGCATCATATCAGCTGTTCTCAGGACTGGGACTTGGGATAAATAATGAGAAATGCTCTACCCAGTCAACATTCCTTGAGATCTTTTCCATCCCAGTCTCCCTGTCCCATGTGTGCTGACTGACCTGACAGGCTCCAATTTAGGGGTTTTGTCACTGTCCATGGCTCTGCCCCCTGTTCCAACTTGAAGATCACCTCAGGTTTGCTTTTGCAGTACCCTGTTAAAGGGAAATAATGCTGGGTGTCATCATATCATTATGTTAGAGTTTTGAAAGACAACAGCTTGTTCACAGGGGCTGTGAAACAAAATTGTTGATTTCAATCCTTTCCTTATGTTTCTTGGCCTCAAATTCTATGCTTATCCACCATGTAATCTTTTAAACAATTAATTTGCTTGTCACATGGGAAGTAACTGTTTCACTTCGGCATGAGAGGGGAATAGCACTCACCCAAAAACAACAGGCTATTGTAGGTCTCCATCATCATATCTTTGTACAGAGTCCTCTGAGAACTGTCCAGGTACTGCCACTCCTCCTGAGTGATGTCCACAGCCAGGTCTTCAAATGACACCAACATCTGCAACAGCACATTTTTTTTTGTTCATCATGCCAGTTCTGTCACAAAAAGACTAGGAGTGCATTTCTCTGTGTGTGTCTTCTATGCCTTTTATATAAGATGCGGATGATTTTGGAATCTATATGGCAACAGAATGCAAAATTACAATGAAAATATCTTGCTTCTATATTAATTTCATAATTCAAAAATCAGTACAATGGAATGCTCGTTATTATGGAACTGCTCTTTCTCCTAATGATTTTGAAAAGAGCCCACACTGTAATCTGTAGACATACATGTAAGCATATGACTGAATTAACATTAGATGAGTTACAGGAGAAAATGTTGAACATCAATTGGGAGAACGAGGAATTTCTTAAAAAATAAATTTTTCTGTATTATCAGATCATTTATTTTATTGCAAACTTTTTAAAATTTATGCATAGTTTTTTTAATGTATTTTTCCATTAATTATTTGATAAATTTTTGTGTGTACTTAATGACTACCACAATTATGTAACCAGGCCATAGGTCAAATAATATTTACATCATGGACATAGAGTTTGAAGCAGGAAAAAGAATATCAGTAACATGTATCAGGTATAGTTCACTCTACTTCATATGTCTACAGGAAAATGCTGAGCTCATAAAAGTATCCAAATCATACAAGAAAGAGATAAAGGGAAGAGGAAGAAACCAGAAACTTGAGGATGCATAGGAATGGAAAACTCTCAAAGCATTTTCATTTGGGCTTTTATTATAAGGTTTTCAAGTCTGCCTTTTTTAATCTTACAAGTAAAATATACAGTAAGAAACAATTTGGAAAGCCAAAACATTCATACTGAAATCCATGTTAACTTGAAAATTAAGGTTATGACCATGACAGCTATTGCTAAATCATGTAAATGAAGTAGTTGTTCTCAATAGAATTTTCAATTGTTCAAAATCACAGGAAGGAGATCACAAGGTACATCTAAAAAACATGCTAAAACACTAGTAACATAACCAGACAAAATGTCATGTTTCAGAAGGCTGACAACTGGCTGGAATAACAAATACACTCACACACACAAATGCACACAAACACACACATTCTAAAGGGTTATACTGTCAGAAACAACCAAATTTACTTCAAAAGTGCCAGAAGATAAAGAAGTTATATTATAAACAAGAAGGAAGCCAACAAGGCAGCCCAGCCCATAGTAAGCATGCTCTATTCAGTCCTGGTCAATGATGTAATGTGGAGCCAGTGCCGTGGCTCTCTAGGCTAATCCTCCTCCTTGTGGTGCTGGCACACTGGGTTCTAGTCCCAATCAGGGCACCAGATCCTGTCCCTGTTGCCCCTCTTCCAGACCAGCTCTCTACTGTGGCCAGGGAGTGCAGTGGAGGATGGCCCAAGTGCTTGGGCCCTGCACCCACAAGGGAGACCAGGATAAGCACCTGGCTCCTGCAATCAATCAGCATGGTGTGCTGGCCTCAGCGCGCTGGCTGCACCGGCCGCGGCAGCCACTGGAGGGTGAACCAATGGCAAAAGGAAGACCTTTCTCTCTGTCTCTCTCTCTCACTGTCCACTCTGCCTGTAAGAAAAATGATGTAATGTAAATAATATTGATAATGGTTAAAGAAAGCTATTTATTAGAAGAAACAATGATTCCTTGGAAAACAAAAGGTTGAAGAGCTACCAAGGTATGGAATGGAGTCAACAAAGTCTGTGTCTCAAGTACACAGCACAGGCCACTCTCCACATGTATCCCCAGCATGGTCATATTGCCATGAGACAGTGCTGCTATCCTCCAGAATTCCTAAATTATTTTTAAAATGAAATTATAAAAAAGGAATGGCTGTCGTGATTATCCTCCTCCTTTTTAAATCATGTACACTGATTAAAAACGAAGCAGTCACTTGTCTGCTCATGACACACAGGTCTAACAATCAAGAGAAGCCACATCTGGACATGATACATTTCTGGTATCATTCACAGAACTTGGATTTGATTTCAAAGTTGAGAATAGATGATATTTTTTAAGTTTGTCTCTCTGGGTATGGAATGAAGTTAAGATACTTGTGAGATAAGATTAACTGATGTGTGGTGACCACTGCTCACTCAACTTCAGTATTGTTTCTTGTGAGAAAATCACATATCCACTCCCAGTCTAGAACTCACACAAATTCACATGATTCTCACTCAGCAAATATCAGTAGATATGAATTGTGTCACTTCTAGGAGAGCTTTACTTGGTCCAATGGCTTCTATATTCTCCAATCACAAAGATGAGCATTTCTAGTAAAGGTCACTATAGCAGGATGAAGAAAAATAGGAGATCTGAAACACACTTTAAATGTGGAAGCCCTGCAGTGTCTGGGAGTCACTTGTCACCTAATTATACCCTAACTTTTCAACCCAATTGTTGTGAGACACTAACAAATAGAGCATCTGTTACAGCAGTTCACTTTAATAGATGGATCTCTCTAAGTCCATGGAAGGGGGCAAGAAATGCACAGAGGCTGGGGGTTATAGACTTTTTAGCAAATTTTGTGGAAAACATACACAAAATAAAATTAAAAGTGAACCCACAGTTCACACTGAGTATTTAACAACTTTAGAATTACATGCAGTGTGTGATTAATAATCTTAGATTAGGAAAATCTATTCTAACTGAAACTCAATATCCAGAAACTATGCAAGCTCAAAATCAAGAATAGAAAACTCAGCAGAATTTTTAGAGGTAGAATGACAAAATTAGTAACTTAAACATCAGCAGATATGCCTTTTTTGTGTATTGTCAATTGCCAAATTCTGAAGATATGTAGCATGGGAGGTTAAATCCAATGCCAAAAATGACTACAGAGGAAAGAGATTTTTTCATTCTCATTTTGCTGAGGATACAAATATCTCCCATTGGAATGGGTCTCATTAATATGGGATCTCAGATGAAAGTACTGGAGACTCAGTGATGTGTTGGATGGTAGCAAGTGGTATGGGCAAGTGGTATGGCACATATGTAACTGCAGACCTCACTGGGAGTAGGATCAGAGAAATATATCCTAAGCTAGTGAAAATTGTAATCCTATTGATCAACAGATCAGGCTACAAATCACAAGCTATACAGAAAAATGTTAACATTTCCTGAAGAAACATTGTCCTTTACCAAAATTCTAGAGGTTTTTCTCTCCTTTTAAGTATTTATGTATTTGCATGACTGAATGACAGGGAGAGAAAGATAGGGAAAAAATCTTCCATTAGCTGTTTCACTTCCCAAGTCTCAGCAAATTCAAAAAAGTCAAAATCATACCATGCATCTTCTCAGAACACAAAGGAATGAATCTGGAAATCAGCAACTCAAGAATCTCTAGAGTATATGTAAACACATGGAAACTGAACAACATGCTCCTGAATGAACACTGGGTCACTGAAGAAATCAAAAGAGAAATCAAAAACTTTCTAGAAGCAAATGAAGATAACAACACAACATATCAAAACTTATGGGATACCACAAAAACATTGTTAAGAGGAAAGTTTATAGCAATAGGTGCCTACATCAATAAATTGGAAAGGCACCAAATAAATGAGCTACCAAACCATAACAGGGATCTAGAAACTCTACAGCAAACCAAACCCAAACCTAGTAGGAGAAAAGAAACAATTAAAATCAGAAAAGAAATCAACAAAATTTAATCCAAAAAATTACAAAGATCAGCAAAACAAAGAGCTGGGTTTTTGAAAAATAAACAAAATTGACACACCATTGGACCAACTAACCAAAAAAAAAAGAAGGAGAGGGAAGACCCAAACCATTAAAATCAGAGATGAGAAAGGGAATGTAACAACAGAAACAACAGACACCAAAGAAATAGTCATCAGAAATTACTACAAAGAGCTGTATGCCAACAAACTGGGAAGTCTAGCAGAAATAGAAAGATTCCTGGACACATACAACCTAACTAAATTGAACCATGAAGACATAGAAAACCTAAATAGATCCATATCTAAGACAGAAACTGAAACAGTAATAAAGGCCCTCCCAACAAAGAAAAGCCTAGGACTGGATGGATTCACTGCCGAATTCTACCAGGCATTTAAAGAATTAACTCCAAGTACTCTCAAGGTATTCAAAACAACTGAAAGAGAGGGAATCCTCCCAAATGATTTCTACAGAGCCAGAATCACCTTCATCCTTAAACCTAAAAAGAGGCACCAGAGAAAGAGAATTACAAATCAATTTACCTGATGAACATAGATGAAAAAAATCATCAATAAAATTCTAGCCAGTAGAATGCAGCAACACATCAGAAAGATCATCTACCCAGACCAAGTGGGAGTTATCCCTGGTATGAAAGGATGGTTCAACATTTGCAAATCAATAAATCATTTACAAACTGCAGAAGAAAAAGCATGCAATTATCTCAAAAGATGCAGAGAAAGCATTCAATAAATATAACACCCTTTCACAATGAAAACTCTGAGCAAATTAGGTATAGAAGGAACATCCTTCATTACAATCAAGATGATTCATGACAAACCCATGGCCAGCATCATACTGAATGGGGAAAAGTTGAAACCATTCCCACTGAGATCTGGTACTAGACAGGGATGTCCACTCTCACCACTGCTATTCAATATAATACTGGAAGTTTTAGCCAGAGCTATTAGGCAATAAAAGAAATCAAAGGGATTTAAATTGGGAAGGAAGAGTCAAACTATCCCTCTTTGCAGATGATATGATCTGCAACTCTACCAAGAGACTATTGGAATCATAGAAGAGTTTGGTAAAGTAGCAGGTTACAAAACCAATACACAAAAATCAACCACCCTTATATATACAGACAATGCCATGGCTGAGAAAGGATTTCTAATATCAATCCCATTCATGATAACTACAAAAAACACATTGGAATAAACTTAACCAAGGGATTCAAAGATCTCTATGATGAGAATTACAAAATTTTAAGAAATTGAAGAAGATATCAAAAATGGAAAAATCATGTTCATGGATTGGAAGAATCAATATAATCAAAATTTCCATTCTCCCAAAAGCAATTTACAGATTCAATGTGATACCAATCAAAATACCAAAGATGTCCTTCTCACATCTTGAAAAAATGATGCTTAAATTCATATGGAGGCACAAGAGAACTTGA